GCGAGGAAAGCAGTTCCCTCGGTGTTAGTGGTGTGTGAGGTATCACAGAGATCAGCTCAGGAATGATGGGACTGACAGAGCACTCGGGTATCAGGAGAAGGACTCATTTCCTGCCAGGATGGCTGCAGATTCCTCTCACAAAATAAATACTGGAGCATCTTTTACAACAACAGCCTGGTGCAGGCTGCAGGAACAATTATGTGGAGGGGACACAATGACCTAGGAGCAACACTGGAGAAGGAATCTCCTGACCTGGCCACTGACCACAGCTAACAGCACTGGGGGAGGCCATTCCTGACCACCTTTTGGGAAAATGCAGGAAAAAAGGGGGAAAAAAAAAAAAAAGGGCCAGGTGCAGACACACCGAGCCTGGAGGCTCTGGAAAAGAAAAAAAAATTACTTTACTGCACATCTGTTGTTGTATCTTCAGTGACTTAACAGCCTAGAGTTATTTAAGGGGGAGCACTCCTGGGAGAGGAGCTGCAAGACAGTGATTAGCTTCTCCTTGTGATTAAAGACAGAGGCTCCAGCACCAGGAACGTGGTCCCAGCAGGAAAACATTTAAAAAAAGAAAAAAAATCTGTAGTATATTCCCAGTGAAAGCCTTTGCCTCGTGCCCTGAGCCTTGGAGAAGTCTGGGGGCTGCAGGTATTGAGGACAGGGAATGCCAGGAGAGATGAAATCAGGGATGGAGCCTCCGGCTGGTCTGGGTTACATCATCCAGTTTGGTTTAGAGATAAAAATCCCCGGGGTCCAGCCTTTTCTGGACGGATCCCGCACTCCTGGCTCGGCAGGGCGCTGCTGCATCCATCAGCTGGAGGCAGATCTGACAAACCGGCGGTTCAAGGCAGGTTTTGGGTCCGGGAGGGCTGGCACAGCCATCCTGGGAGGTGAGAGCCAGATCCGCGGCTGGGGCTCGGCTTCAAAGCCGTCGAGGTCTCGCTGCTCASATTTGCCTCCATCTCTGCTTTTCATCTCGGCTTTGCGCCGCCGCTCTGCTCCCGCTGCTCGGCGTCTGTGCCTTAATTCTGCTGGAATGGTTTGTTCAAAGCACGCCTGACACCTTCAGGGGAGGCAGGGACTCTCTCCAGGAATGTTTTTCTCCCTTCTCGTCATCTCCAGGCTGCTTGCAGATGACAAACCCATCCCTGGCCGCGTCTGTGCTCGCTGCTCGGCCCTTTCCGTGCGTGTCTGCACCCCAGACCGGGGGAGGCTTTTTTTGGGAGGCTCCCAGCGCCTGGGCAGAGCTGGTCCATCCCTCAGGAGTATTTCCTGCCGGTCAGCAGGCTGGACAATGACCCCACTCCCTGTGTGAGCAGCTCTGCTGCAGCCCAGCCCCTGGTGACAGCCAAGGCCACCCGAGCTCCCAAAGGAATTCCTGTAGGAGGCTGAGCTGTCCATCCCTCATGGCAATGCAAATTTCGTTCCTCCCGCTCTCCACTGCCTTGCTGACAACTGCAGGAGCAATGTTTGAACGTATTTGGGTGTCTGAATTGGAGCTAGGCTGTGTCTCCACGATGTCTCCAGCCTCACCCGGGATGCCCTTCCCACAGAACCGACCCCTTCCAGCGGCACCAGCCCATCCCAACATCAGGATTTTGGGGAGAGGGGGACAAGGTGCTGCTTCTTCTCCTGGGGTGGGCAGCCACACTCACACGAGTGGGAGCTCAATCACTGGTGACCGCGGTCAGAGCCGGTGTTCAAAGGTGATTTTCCTGGCCAGGCACCCTCAGCCAGGTCCCTGCAGTAACTCCACCGCTGCTCGGACTAACCCCCTTCACCTTCAGCCTCGGACTAACCCCCTTCACCTTCAGCCTCGGACTAATCCCCTTCACCTTCGGCCTCGGACTAACCCCCTTTTCCTTCTCCTCTTTCCGCAGATCTCAAGGGTGTGGTTTCCGCCAAGAACGACATCCGTGTGGAGATCGTGCACAAGGAGCCGGCCTCGGGCAGGGAGGCGGAGGAGCACCCGACCATCAAGCAGCTGATGGTGAGGAATTCCTTCCCCGCCCCGAGCGATCGCTCCGGGCTAAACTTTGATGGGAACGAGCCCGGGCACGTGTCCTTCAGCCCGGAATGACCACTCGAGGCAAAGATGCTCTTTCAAAAAATCCTGCCCTCGAAATCCACATCCTTCTGCCGTAAAAACTCGAGTCAAACTTGACCGATGAGAACGGAGAGCTGGGAGGGGTTTATTGCACTGGCCCAGCTGCCCGCCGGGCTAACTGCAAAGCAAATTCGCCACYTCACACCTGGAAAGCTGCGGAGGGCAGGGAAACTCGCCAGGGGTGAGCACGGGGTGATAAGGAGCTCATTGAGCAGCGAGGGCTGCGCCCCGAGAGTTCTGTGTGTGCACAGGGCTGGATGCACTCCCGGAACGCCGCGGGTGTGGGGATGCTCTGCGCCTGGGGCTGGAACAACCGGGGAGGGGTCACCCTCCCGAGGACACCGCCTTCACCCGAGGGGACCGACACACACAGGCAGGGCAGGAGGGGGGTGGCTGAGAGCCCAGGAAACTCAGCTTGAGCCCGGGGACTGCATCCTCACCACCAACCCCTTCGGTCATTGTTCTCTGTCTCAGCCCCAGTTTGCCTTTGGTTTCCCTTGCTCGTGACAAATTGAAGCTGAAAAATGGCTAAGAAAGGCAAATAGCTGTAAAAAAACGAGAGAAAAGAGCAGATGGGAAGGGGAGAAGGGAATGAAGAAACCAGTGGCTGCTTTCTAGGCTGCTGGCTGGTTTTTATCTCCTCTAACTCTCCCTCTTTTGGGCGGCACTTGTATGTCCTGCCTGCAAAAGCTGTTCCATGAACGCCTGGTGGGAAGGCAAGGCTGAGCATTGTAGGGTGGGTGGAATTGCCTGCTGGAATTGTCAGGATTGCCAGAGCATCCAGACAGCCAGGGAGCCTCCAAACAATGAGGCAGAAAGGAGGTGGAGATRTGGCAATTTATCCCAGCACCACTGAGGTTTCTGTGCAAGACCCTTCGTTCCCTGCAGGGCTTTGCAGTGAGAAATCTGCAAGGCCACGGTGGGGTTTGGAAAGCTGGAAGGACAGGGGAGGCTGGGATTGGGTTTGGAGCACTCTGCTGGGATGAAGGGGAGTAAGAAGTTTCCTCTTCATGGGACCCTATACATCACCTGTGTGATCAGCAGCGCCGAGCCCAGATCTGGCTCCCACAGGGGCATTTGGGATCATCCCAAATCCCGCTCCAGACTGTAACTGGAAGCATATTATGCCATGCTGGAAACACACACAAAGCCTCAGCAGAAGAGAACATTTACCACTGTGACCAAATGAGGAAGGGGATGGTCATGGGGCATCAGGCACAGGATCCTGGGAGCCTTCCTGGGGATTTTCTGGGGTTATTGGTCAGAGCCAGAGGGTGATTTCACAGCAGTGTGTGTTTTGGTGAGGCTGGTAGCGGAGCTGCACCAGGCTCRTTGCAATGAGGGTTCTGGCAGGGTGGAAATGGTGCGGAAAAAAAATGACAACGTTTGTTTGAGAGCTGGGAAAAAATGCCTGGCAGGGAGAGGTTAGAGAGCTCCGGGGTTTATCAGCAGACTGGTGAGAGGGGGTTTGGTCATGGCACAAAGGGGTTGTTTGAGTGTAAACAGGGAAGGCAAAGCTGAGTGCTTTGGATATGACAAAACAGAGACTCACAGCCTGAAGAAGGAGATTCTTCTTCCTCTCTCTTGGCCAAATTTCCAGGCATTTTTCCTCAAGATACAGCAGCTGGAAATGGCATTGTTGGATCAGCASCGTTCAGGAGCTGGAAGAGATGGTCCATGATCTCTGTCCCTGATGCTGGGAGGGCTTGGCCCCAGCTGGGACGTCCTTCCTGCAGGGAGACAGCATCAAAAGCCCTTCCCCTGCCTGGACAAGAGCCTCCCCACCCTCATGTGCCCTCGGCGAGCACATTCCCAGGAAATACTCCCCAATTTCTTCTCTCCTCAGAGTCCACAGGACCCCTGCTCTCTCTCATCCACCTCCTTGTTGTGTCCAGCAGGCGGTGTGGGCATCCTCCCCCGGCCATCAGACACCCAGCCTTGGATGCCAATCAGATTCCTGATARAATATTCTGACTTTGTCAATTAAATGACAGATCAAGTTAAAAACTTCCTCTTGCTGAGGAGCAGCAATGAGACCTCTCCAGCAGGAGGAGGAGGTGTCCAGCACTTCTCTATCCTCACCCCAAGATTTTCCAGCTCTCCCTCCTCCGCCATTTGCCTTCTCTGAATATCCTATGAGACCTCCCTGCTTTGAGAGGATCTCCTCGCCCTCACCAGTGTTCATCACACCTTGCAGTTTAATTTCACCTGTGACTGTCATTGCCATGCCGGGCTCGGGCTCATTAATGTGGATGTTGAAGAGGAGCAGCCTCTCTGGCAAACAGCTCCTCGCTGCTCTCCATCCCAACCCCATCCCGGCCTCTCGGCCGAGCCCCTGAACCCAGCACAGCCCGACCTGCTCCTGCTGAATTTCAGGATCCTCAGCACGGTGGCTGWGCCTTTGTTCCTCAGTTTCCCACCGCGTCCTGCTCTGCCGGAGCGTTCCTGGCCGCAGAGTGCCAGCGTGGCTCTCCTTCCCCCCAAACGCTGTTTTGTCATTCTCCAGCCATCTGTGACCTCGGCAGCTCACCGTGCTTTTCACAAGTCATTATTCATGCATCTATAAATTCATTAACACCTTAGGATACGCGTCACGCTGGCTGATTTGCATATGTTCACATTGCCTCAGCGCCGCTCCCACCCCCTGCTCCGAGAGCKGTTCTGCCAGGCAGCGCCTACGGGCAGGGAAAAGGCTGCCAGCTCTAGCGGCCAGAGGAAAAGGAGCGGGTAAAGGGCCGGATCCCGGGCAAAATAAACCACAACAGCCGCGTTCTCCCCTCTGCGTGCACTGCATGGGCACGGCGGCTCCGTTGAGCTCAGGCTGTGAGAGGAGAGAGGAAAAGCATCGTGGCACAGCCTCCTCCCTTGCCATGGCTGGGTTTATTCCCGGCACASGACCCTGTGCCTCCCCTTCTGTGAAATGGGGCTGGTATTCCCAAAGGAGCCGTTCCCACTGCGGTGGGAAGTCAGAGACGATCCCAAAGTGTCAGGCAGGCAGGGGCATCCCAGTGATCTCCATCTCTGGATCATTCCCTCCATCAGAGGGGATCCGGTGTGGCCAGGCAGATCCRGGCATCGCCTTTGGTTCATATTTGGAGTGGAACAGTCTCAGTTATCAATCCAGTGACAGGTTTATCTTGTCCCGTCTCCTTAAAGCCATCCCCGTGCTCCAAGGGCTGTTCCCAGTGTGTTCACAGCATACACAGGTGATCAGCACCGGACACCTGTTCCAGACAGCGCCCAGCTCAGATCCCCATGGAAGAGGGAAAATCCAAGAAGCAGAATTTTCATTCTGTATGGGGCTCATTCCCAGCAGACACAGCATCCCTTCCTCTGCCTTTCTCCCGTGCCCGCGGGCTGGGACACGTTCCACRTGCCCGGTGGCCACTGCCACCGCCACCCTGGGCAGCGCCAGCAACCCCGAGCTGGCAGAGCCGGGTCTGAAYTGGGGCCAGGCTGCRTCCCCACGACATCCAACCTCGCCCGGGATGCCCGGGGARCATCCCTCCCACACCACCAAACMCTTCCAGCGGCACCAGCCCATCCAAAATCAGCATTTTGGGGACAGGTGGGACAAGGTGCTGCAGCTTCTGCTGGGATGGACAGCCACAGTCACGCCAGTGGGAGCTCACATCACTGGGCACAGCGGCCAGAGCCGGTGTTTGAAGGGGGACAGGTGGGACAAGGTGCTGCAGCTTCTGCTGGGATGGACAGCCACAGTCACGCCAGTGGGAGCTCACATCACTGGGCACAGCGGCCAGAGCCGGTGTTTGAAGGTGATAAAGCTTCATCCAGCCGGGAATTCCCAGAGGGGCTCTTTATTCATGGGCTGGTCCCCTCCCTGCGAGCAGAGGAAGYCGCTGTTCGAGGATCGCCATCACCATCCCTCACCCCGGTGACGTCTGGCCCACACAAGCGCTGCCGGGTGGCATCCAATTACCCAACCAGCCGGAAATATTGTAATTAAACCTGGAGCGAGGTGGGGGGAGGCGCCTCGAGCGCGCCAGGTCTGGACGATACTCAGGCACCTGGAGCAGCRTTTTAAAAAACATATTGTGTCCACGAATGAAAGCCAAGAATTTCATATCCTGTCGGATTCTTTGATTCTCCATCTCAGAGGCGGCGTGAAACGCGGGAGAGCTCCGCATTTCCGGGCGGACCGGGAGCAGGGCGCTGCTTCCATCGGTGTTTCCCTGCCCGAGAGGGCACTTTGCTCTGCCGGGATGCGCTCCCCGGGCGCTGCGAGCCAGCACGGCGGAGCTGAGGTGATGCTCGGGATCTCGAGGGGGTCCCTGCCCTTTGCAGTGAGAGAAACTGAGGCAGCGGCACTCAGGGGTGCGGGGATTATGCAGTTTGGCACATCCCTCATTTGATCCAGGAGGCACCGGCGAGCTTTGGGAATGGACAGGAATTCACACCCCACCTGCGCTSCCCCACTGCTCTGGGGATGGCAAAGGCTGCTGGCGCCTGGCAGTGCCGAGCAGGATTAGATCCTGGCATGRGATTGCCAGGATGGGAAGGGCGCTGGCAGGAGGGGAATGGTGGGCTCGCAGCTCCGACCGGCGGCTGTGTCACCAGCCATCTGCAGGCAGCGCTGCGCCGCGGATCGGAGCAGATCGGGGCTGTCACCCGGCTGGACAAAGCCATGGATCTGGAAAAAAAGTCGGGCATGGCACTGGGGCATCCCCTGCCAGGGCACTCGGGCATCTCCGGTCTGTTTCCATGTATTTCCTCTCCCCTTTCGTAATTCTCATTAATATTGGTGATGGAGTGAACTTGAGTTAACTCCCGTCCCTTCCCGGTGTTTACTCAGCGATGACAAAGCGGAAATCCCACACGGMGGTCCCCCCGCCCGCTAATTAACGGTGTAACCTTTAACAAAGATGACGTTAATGACCGGCTGTAATGGGGGAAGTGGAGAGTCAGTGATGTGACGGCGYTTTAGGGGCGCCCTGCAGTCCCCAMACCCACRGGGTGCGGCCRAATTCAGAGCCTCACGGACMGGCAGGGTCMCCACGGGGCTCAAGGAGCATCCCAGTGCCCGGATCATTCCCACACCACTGCGAGAAMTGGTTTAAAACACCCCATCAAAGCCGGCATTAACTCCAGGGCGGTTTGGTCACAGCGGGACTGTCCCCTTGGTTCCCAATTCCCTTCTCTCCATCTCCGGCTCCGGCCCTGTCCACCTGGGTCACCCACGCCAAAAAAACAGCCAAATCCAAGGAGGATGGGTGATTTCTCCTTTTCTTTCTGAGCTGGGGTCTGTTAAACCTTTCCGATAGGGTTCACACCCCCAGTCTCTGCCTTTGCAGCGATGTTTTAGAGGATCGAGGGGGCTGGCAGAGCAAAAAAAAAAAAACCTCGAACATCCCATTTTAGCTGCACTTATTTAATCCTCGGCGACACTTGTATTTATCCTGGTAAATCAATGGCTGATACAGGCTTTCTTTTCCCTAGGAAATCTCAGGTACTTTAATTTATTGCCTTTAACAGCCACATCAAAGGCTTTCGGGAGATGAACAGCAAGTGCCGCGGGGTGAATTTCCACAGCCACTTACCATCCTAAAGAGGAGAGAATTTGGGCAATAAAAAGGGATTTTGGGGCTGATGTGGGGCTGTGATCGCAGAGAAGCCGAGCTGGAGGCGTCCGGTGAATACGGGAGAAGCTAAAAAAAGGCAACTGAGAAATGGGTTGATAATTATTCTGCTTCCTGCACAGCCCCGTGTGCTGAAGGAAGGGTAATTAAAGCTGTGGTGTAATTAATGTGCACCTTGCCCCTCCTCTCCTCCTCCTCCGGATCACGGCCAGCCTTCAAAGGAAAACTAATGAGRCGGCCAAGTTTAGCTGAGGAGGAAATAATGAAAACAAAGCGAAAAAAAAAAATTATAAAGGAGATTTTGGGGTATTGCTTTGGGCAGGTGGATGCAGCCCCGATCCTCACTACTGCACATAATTCCTTTTCTGCATCAGCCCGGCCTATTCTGTCCTAAACAAGCAAAAACAATCTGTAACCCAGGGAATCGCGGGGCTTTTGGGCGCCCGCCCGGCTCCGCTGCCCTCGGACTGTCGGGGCATCCCTGGGCAAGCCCTTGAACCCGGCTGGTGGCTGATGATGGACGTGGGGCTCGGCCCACACGGCCCCGGGGATGGGGACAGCCGAGGGACAGCCGGGGGACAGCCGGGGGACAGCCGGTGCCTGCCATGCTGATCCCTGTCCGCGTCCTTTCCCAGATGGACCGCGGGGAGTTCCAGCAGGATTCGGTGCTGAAGCAGCTCGAGGTGCTCAAGGAGGAGGAGAAGGAGTTTCAAAACCTGAAGGTGAGCTGATCCTGGGGGACCACCTCTGTCAGAGATGGGGTCAGAGCCACCCTGGTCACTCCTGGCGGAGGGACTGCACCCCGGGGTGCTGGACACCCCTCCTGAGCCCACCACCCTGCAGAACAGCTCATCCCTCACCCAGCAGTGCTGCTGCCACACTGGCTGTCCTTGGGCCATGTCCCCAGTGGGACCTGTCCCAGAGAGCTGTCCCTGTSCAGGGAGAGAGGCTCTGGTGCCCGGGCACTGTTTTCTGGCCCCTTTTGGGGGTCACGTGAAGGTGTGTTACCAGGATAGTGGGAACAAGGAGCACCTTGTTCCATCTGGAGGGGGCTGCACAGAGTGGGACACATTGGTGGCACAAGAGGACATTGCTGGAAGCTTTGGGGTTGAGGGTGTCCTCCAAAAGGGGGCTGTGAAGATGGAGAAGGGTCTGGAGTGGCCACACAAGGAGAAGCTGAGGTGACTTGGCTTGTTCAGCCTGGAGGAGACTGAGGGGAGACTCACTGGGGTCTGCAGCTTCTTCCTGAGGGACAGCACTGATCTCTGTGCCCTGTGACAGGGACAGGACCCAGGGAAGGGCTGGAGCTGTGCCAGGGAGGGTCAGGCTGGAGATCAGGGAAAGGTTCTTCTGTCCCCAGAGGGTGCTGGCACTGCCCAGGCTCCCCAGGGAAAGGTTCTTCTGTCCCCAGAGGGTGCTGGCACTGCCCAGGCTCCCCAGGGAATGGTCCCGGCCCCGAGGCTGCCAGGGATGCACAGGGTGGGATTGTTGGGGGGTTTGTGCAGGGCCAGGAGCTGGACTGGGTGATCCTGTGGGTCCCCCCCAACTCAGGATATTCTGTGATTCCAATAAATCTCACACGTCCCAGGTGGAGGGGCAGGGTGGGCACCCCCAAATGCCACAGCACCCATGGAAACCACCACCAACCTGCCCCTTCTGCCCCTCCCCAGGACCCCACCAACGGCTACTACAGCGTGAACACCTTCAAGGAGCACCACTCCACGCCCACCATCTCYCTGTCGGGCTGCCCGGCTGACCTGCGCCCGGCCGGCAAGCAGCGGGTGCCCACGGGCATGTCCTTCACCAACATCTACAGCACGCTGAGCGGCCAGAGCCGCCTCTACGACTACAGCCAGCGCTTCGTGCTGGGCATGGGCAGCAGCTCCATCGAGCTGTGCGAGCGCGAGTTCCAGCGCGGCTCCATGAGCGACAGCAGCTCCTTCCTCGACACCCAGTGCGACAGCAGCATCAGCAGCAGCGGCAAGCAGGACGGCTACGTGCAGTTCGACAAGGCCAGCAAGGCCTCCGCGTCCTCCTCCCACCACTCCCAGTCGTCTTCCCAAAACTCAGACCCCAGCCGGCCCCTGCAGAGGCGGATGCAGACGCACGTTTGAGCCCCTCCGGGGCCGCTCGGGACCTCCGCGCTCGGACAGTGGCGCCCGCCGGCGGCGAGAGGCCGGAGCCGGGACCCCCGGAGCGGGGCTGCGGGGCGGGGGGGACCGGCCGAGCATCCCCCCCGTCCCCGGTACATGCTAAGCACAACCCTGAGGACGCGCCGAGCCCCGGGGAGCCGCCCCCAACGCGCACCCCCGCGCCCCRCCAGCCGCTCGCCTCCGCTTCCCGCTGCCCTCTCCCACCCGGCTCCTTCCCTTCCCTCGTGGTGTTCCGTGTCCATACTTATAGAGTCCGTTTCGGGGGGGTTTGGGGGGGTCCCGCCCTGTGGGACAGAATAGGGGGGGGGACATCGGTGGGACAGGGACCCCCCGGGAAGGGCCTCTCCGCGCTGTATCGCGGCGCCGCGGTCAATACAAGAGGTGTTTCTCGTGGCACGCCTGGGCTGATGGCCACCCCGCGGGGACACCGGCTTCCCTGGCGCTCTGCCCCCGCACTGAGCTGGCCCGGAGSCCGGGGGACGCCCCACGGGGGCAGAAATGGCCGGTGGTGGAGGGAAACTGAGGCACGGGGCAGCTGGGATCCTGCGAGCCCAGCGTGGGAGCCAGGAGATGGGGCCTCACAGCAGGTAAGGGGATGTGGGGACACACGGGCATGGGGACAGACCACCCCCCTGCATCCACAGCCCCAAAACTCCCTCACACATCCCCCGATCACACCCCAGGAGCGCCCAGCCCATCCCAGCCTCACCAGGACTTTATTGGGTGCCAGCATCAGCCCCAACACCCCCATCCACGGGTCCCCCCAACACTGACAGCCCCACGGGGGCACAGGGGACCCTACACCAGCAGGGACAAGGCACCAGTCAACCCCTCGGTGGTGGSGGGACATCCCAAACGCCCACCCCCATGGAGCCAAGAACGTGCCAGCCCACCCTGGGCCCCTGGCACCAGTGGCACACGGGCCCTGGGGAAGGCTCCACCATAAATAAGCATTTAAATTAATTAAATTAATCTGCACCCATAAAGGGCCCCGGCAGACCCCRAAGCCAAGCACCCCAAGGTGCCCCCGCCCAGGGGGGCTGCGGGGACGAGCCCCGACGCCAGCGCTAAGGCACAGGACAGGGCCGCCAAGTAAAAAGGAAATTAAAAAAAAACGGGGGGTGGGAATTAAATATTTGGGGGGAGGTCCAGGGCAGGGAGGAGGCAAAATTAGCCTGCAAAGGCTCCCATTCCCTGGGGGGGGCCAGGACCCCCAAAATCAGCCCCTCAGCAGGGCCCTCGTCAGTGTGTGAGGGAATTAAGGGAAGGAGAATGTCCAGGGCAAGGGCTCCTGCCCCGACTCACCCCCTCAGGCCCGCTGGGAGGGAGGACCCCCCTACCCCACAAATCCCCTCCAGGTCCTCGGTAGCTTCAGTGCGTCAGTAGAAAAGGTGCGGGGGCACGGCCCCGCCGGGCTCCCTGCACCCCCAGGAGCTGCCCCACCCGGGGACCCGCGGTCCCGCACGGATCCCCAGCCCCAGCAGTCCCAGGGCACGGTGGCAGCGATGACCAGGATGCTCTGCCCTCAGTCACTCCAGCTGCGCCAGTGCTGTGTCCCCTCGCTGTGAGAACGGTGTCCCCTCGCTGAGAACGGTGTCCCCTCGCTGTGAGAACAGTGTCCCCTCGCTGTGAGAACGGTGTCCCCTCGCTGAGAACGGTGTCCCCTCGCTGTGAGAACAGTGTCCCCTCGCTGTGAGAACAGTGTCCCCTCGCTGCAGGGACGCTGTCTTCTCGCCCCGGGGACGGTCTCCCCTCACTGCGGGGATGGTGTCCCCTCGCCCCGGTGACAGTGTCCCTGCGGCCACCCTCAGAAGTAGGTGAGGTTCTTGACGAGTCCCAGCTCCAGCATCCTCTTGATGGCCACGGCCTCGTGTGACACGTTGTGCTCCGACGCCTGCAGGATGGGGAGCAGGGGGTGACACTGGAGTCTGGCACAGAGGGGCCAAGTGCTCTCCTGCCACCCCTCTCACATTCCCAACCCCACCAGTGGGGACTGGAGYCCCCCAAAAGCAGGGATGAAACCCTCCCTGCCCAATCCCCTTGTCCATGAGCCCTTCCCCTCACACATAAACAGGGCATGGGTCCAACTCTCCAAGCCTCCAAAGACTACATAGTTGGATGATGACCATCCAAAGATRGAGCTCGACACTCATCATGGGAGGGGAATGAGGGAAGAGCCTCCYACACCCCTCAGCATCCTGGATCTGCCCTTTTGGGCTGCCATCCTGGGGGAAGAATGGGGGAAACATGGACCAAACCGTGGGGCAGACACTTACAGCCATGGACTTGAGTGTGATCTGCTCGTAGTAGTGGATGGTTTGCTTCTTGTTGTTCGAGTCAGGGTAGCCAAAGCCCGCAATGTGCACCAGGTCACAGAAGTGCAGCGCCAGGGTGATGGCCAGCAGCCCCGTGGTGGGTTTCTGTGGGACACAGTGCCACAGAGAGCCCTTCAGGGAGCTGTGCAGGGACAGGCTGTCCCCCCTSAGGGGTGCAGGGCCATCCCCACCCCTTACCTGTTTGACCTTCCGTGGTTGCTTCATGGGGAGGTTGAGCAGTTTAGCAGCAGTCACTTCCATGTAGTAGGGGTTGAGGATGCGCACTTGCTCYGGGTTGGCATCCCAGATCAACGGGGGCTGTTTCCAAAACCCCTTCCGAACCTGCAAGAGGCCAGACATCCCCAAGGGCGGGGTGGTGGCGTGAGGGTCGGATCCTGGAGCAGTCAGGGAGGGGCTGGACCTGGCTGCCCACCACGCTCACCCTCTTTTTGTCATTAAGAATGGCCTCCATCCACTGGAAGTCCATGGGCTTGAAGGGCACGAGCACCAGCAGCGTGTCGGGGTTGTTCTCGGTGCGCGGGTCGAAGTGGGCTGACTCGGGGTAGAACAGGCGCATGGTGGTCTTGGAGCCCACGTCCTGCTCGTAACCGTGCACCGGGGCGTTGTTGAGCCTTGGGGACATCACAGGTGTCACCCCGGCTGTGGGGGCAGCGGGGAGGGAGCGGGGTGGCACCAGCTGGGTACAGGGCTGTACCTGATCACCACGTCGTAGGTGTTGATGGTGTCCCCCATGGAGCTGTTGCGGAGCCGGTGGCCGTTGCCCACCACCGCACACCTCCGGCACTTGAGGCTGTGAGAGAAACCCCCATCTCAACCAAAACCGGGGTGATTTTAACCCCCAGGGGCATTAATCCTGTGTTGTCCTGTCTCCAAACCTTCCCATGTTCCATCCACCACCCCTGGGCTGCAGAGGTTTGGTTTGCCAAATCCTGGGCCCACAGCAGACAAATTCCAAACACCCCCCATGAGGGCAAGGAGGAAGAAAAAAGAAAGAAAAGCCCCTAAACCCACCCCGRTGTTACCTCTGGATGCTCTCAGGCAGGGAGTAGTGGGTGATGGACAGCAAGCGCAGGAGGACGTCCTCTGCAAAGCAAGGGAGAGGACGAGGTGAGGAAGGTGAGGAAGGCAGTTCCTGCCTGGCACAACACCCTGGGTGCTGCCCATCCCTGCCCAATTTCCTSCTGCTGTTAATCCCATTTTCAGCAGATAATTTATCACTGGGATTTAGTAAAACCTGTCCCACCCTGAACTCTTTTAGAAGCACCACGTGCACCCAGGGTGAGGAGATATGAGCTGCAGAGTYTAAAAACCAAGGAAACAGCTCGGGAACGGTCCCCAACAAAATGAAACTGCAGCTGTCTTTAGGAAGGGGGAAGCTGAAGCCCCGGGAGCAGCAGCAGGATGGACAGACAGAGCCCAGGGAGCAGTGCCAGCCTTACCGCTTCCCTTGGTGCCGTAGGGCAGCTCGTAGAGCGACGGAGTCTTCACCCAGAAATAATCCTTCAGCTGCAAGAAGAGCGGGTGGTCCCTCGTGTAGCTGCCAGGGAGTGAAGGGTCGGTGAGATGGCACAGGGAGGGGGGTCCCGGCTCTGCATCCCCCCCACTCCCTGATTCCAGCCCCAAAACTCACTTYCCGATGAGCTGCGCCGCTTTCTTTTCCACCTCCCCTAGGGGACACGTTGTCTTGTTGTTTTCTTGCACAGGGAAATAAAAGCTGTAAAAGGAAGGGGTTAATTAAATCAAATTATGCCTGCTCCTCTGCAAGCCCCGCCTCCACCACTCCTCCCCGCGGCCGAAGGGGCTCGGGCCACCCCCCAGGCATCCCCATTGTGGGATTCAAGCTGTCAGAGAGGATTTCCAGCCGGATTTAAGGCCAGCGCTGCCTCGGTGTTTTTCAGCTGGGCTTGCAGCTTTGCATCACAAGAGGTCTCTCTTGCTCTGCTCATGAACCTCTCGCTCTGCTTTCCCATCGCTGGCACCGGGAAGAGAGCGAGGTTTTCCCACCCTCCCGGGCTCAGAAAAGCACCAGCACTCGCAAAAAAAACCCGCAGAGCCCAACCATCACCGCACACCGAGGGGGAAACTCGCTGGTGTCCCCTGCTCTCCAGCAGCAGCCGAGGGTGCAGCCACCTCCCCAGCCCCCTGGGATGCAGCCAGAGGATGCTCTGGGATCCCATGCGGGATGGGTGAGACAGAGCTGCCTCCCGGGGCGAAGGGAAGGGCAGGAGGTCCTTCAAACTTGAGTAAAAGGCACTCACAGCTGTATGTACCTGTCTTCCCGGTAGATCGAGTACCAAACCATCACCAGAAACAGCGCCAGCACCCCGAGTATCTTCCCTCCTGCGTGCCCACAGGGGAGGGGGAGAGAAAAACCACTGTCAGCCGTGGGGTTTGGATGATTGGGGTCCCACAGCCTCCCCAGCCAGGTCCAGGATGGCAGAGCCTTCTCCCCCAGGGCTGGCTGGCACCACGCCCCAGAGAGGAGCGGCTCTGAGATGAGCCCGGTGGTTTTGTCCCGGGTTTAAAAGCCACCGTGACATTTCTGTTTCCTCCTGCCTGCTTTGCATCAAAGCCCAGGAAAATGTCCCTTTTTCCATGTGCCTCCACCCTATTGTTGTACCACAAAGTCCAAGGGTGCCTGAGCCCAGAGATCAAGGTCCCCAAAACCACCTTCCCCACYGCGGCTTTCACCCGTGAAACCCCAACACTCCATCACTCAAGTGGARCCACAGCGAAGCAGCACCCAACCCCCAGAGCCAGATTTCCAAATGCCAATTCCCCAGGGGAGATGGGATCCTCTCTGTGGGACTCACGAGACTTGTTGATCATTTTTATCAGCAGGAAAGGGATCAGGCGAGGGCCGGAGCTCTCATCGCGGCTGGTCACCTGCAGCGGGAGAACGGGAATGCCATCGGGTCAGGGCAAAGCCCATGGGAGCCGACCCCAAAACCCCATCCAGGAGACATCACCCCCTGCTTGCCCATCTGCATCWGTGGGTGCAATGGCTCCCCAAGGGATTTATTTATTTAAAGTCACATTTCTTTGCTGCCAAAAGGTTAGTTTAGGGAGCTTATCAAAGCCAGGCAAGCTTCCCAAGGAGCTCTACAGCTAACAGACAAAAGGAAAATAAAAAGCGAGGAAAAACAAGCCCCCAGTGGGGTTTCAACCACGAAATCCCATGGCGGGGAGCCCAGCTTAAGCATCCACCTGGCAGCAGCAGGTACAAAGCCCAGTGTGCCACCACAAAGCCAGCRAGAAAGGACAGGAGCAGCCGAGCAGGATCAAACCGAGGAGCATCACGTACTTGGGGAACCTCCAAGGCCTTGGATTCGCCCATCCCGGCCCGGGGAAAGGAGGTGCCACGAGCTCAGTGCCCGCCCCAACGCTGCCCAGGGAAGCGTGGCCACTTTGGTTCTCCTYGGACACCTCTGGCTCCTGCAACGAGGAGCAGAGAGCCCTGGTTGGAACCATCCTGGACCAGCTCATCCCATCCTGGGATGCCTCTATAACTTAGGTCAAGGTTACAAAATGCTTAAATAGTTTCATTCATAAAATACCTAACACAAATTGAAGTTCTTTAATGATTACATAACTTGAATTATAGTTTTTWTGTATTTATATAATCTGAATTATAACTTTCTATACAATGTTATAGTCAAGTGTAGTTAACTAGCTGTTTAAGCAAAAACTCGCCAGGTGGATAACCTCAAAAAATAAATAAATATAGCTAATTGGGAAACAGCAAGATGAACTAATGAGAAATTGGCATTGTAAAGCCCATTAGCCACAAGATTAAAAATTCAGACCAGTTAGATTCAGAAAGCCCAAAAAACRCCCTAACTGCATGTGCTCTGAAGGAAAAACTGCAAAGTTCAGGTGCAAGGAAGACTTTGAGTCTTCATCAGAGAAGACCCCCACGACCACCWAAACTGAGGAAGCACAAGGGCAGTACAAAAAAAACATTTATAACAATGAGATAACCTTATGTAAATTAGTTCCAGACCCGTACATGATGATGTTATGCTGACATAGCAACATTAAACAATAYTTATTGTAGAAATAAGACACAACACTTGATAAAAGTGGGTGAGTTCGGTAAAAAATCCCCCTCACCTCCAGCGCTGCAATGAACAAATCCCTGCTTTATGGGGTTTTATTTCCAGCCTGTCTTTTCCAACTTCACAAGGATGCAAAACGAACTTACCGGGTGGGAGACGCTTTGGGGTGCAGGGGGGATTTGCTCCCGGGGTGAATCTGGCTCTAAAATCCCAGCTCAGAGCTGAGCTTGGCTTTGGCACCCAGCACCGAGCTCCCCCCGGCTGGAGCAGAGGGAGGGGAGCACTAAAGGGCAGCCAAGGGGAAAGGTGCACGCCCGGGCTGGGCCATCACAGCCCATGGAAAGCTCCGGGGATTAGTCAGAGCCTCACCCCCTCCCTGCCCSAGGAACCCGACACCTGCCCGACGGACCACAGCCTCACCCAGCCCCGAGACAGGGCGAGAACAGCCCGGCTGGGGGCAAAAACGGACCAGGAATGAGGAAAAATGGCACCGAAGAAGGTCCCACGGGAGCCAGGCTCTTCCCTTCCCTGCCACGGGCTCCTGAAGTTAAAAGGGCAGGAGGGCAATTAATTAAATAGGGCAGGGAGGGTAATTAAAAGGCAGTTAAGGACAATTAAACCACGCTAAAAGCAACGGGATAGGAGACCAGAAAAAGAAAATTGTGCCCATTTGACAGCACAGGGATGGGGACAGGTGAGGWGGTCCCTTAGGAAAGCAGCTCTGTCCTTCTGAACTGCTTCTCCTCCATAAAACGTGGATAATWGTGCCCCACCATCACCTGGGGGCCCCAGGAAGGAGAAGCAAACCCCCCAACCCACTTTACACCCTGGCTCTCATCCTGCATCTGTATTTCTGGCTCAACAAGCCCCTCCTGCGTGGGAAGATGAAATCCCCTGCGGGATCTTGGAGGGTGGGAGCGTACAGGGAGGAGACACTGCGGGGGTCTCACCCCGTACATGTTAATGGCTTGGAAAAACTAAAATCAGGGGAAASTAAAAAGCAGCTTGTGCTTCCTGGGGGGTTTTGATCTTTGCAAAAGTGGCCACAAAAACCCCGAAGGGAAATCCACCGCAGCTGGAGGTTGGGGATGCTCCTGGGGGGCCTGAGCACCCCTGTTTGCCCAGGGCTGGGCACCTGTTGGGCATCAGGACCTGCCTTTAACACCAAATCCACCCTCCAGCCTCATCCTCGGGTGCCAAAGCACCCAAAGGAGAACCCTTCACCCCTCCCACTGGCGAAGACACCGGGAAAATCCGCTCTGCCCGCAATGTTTGCCTTCACATACCAGCCTTTTTTAAACAATATTTTTGGACAGCTTTATGATCTTTTCCCAGGCTTGTACGCACAAGCTGGGCCTGATGCAAAACTTATCTAAGGCAAACACGGCAAATAATCCCCGAGGAGAGGGAACGTTGTTTAGCGAAGCGTTCAGGGAATGCAGAGCAAAACAGAGCACACCCGGCTGCCCCCGCGCCCGCGGTGCCTCTGGAACGAGTCCAAGCTCCCACAGCCTGCCCAGGTCCACAGCCCGAGAGCAGGAAGGGCTGAA